GTGGCTGGGAGCCCGGCCAGGAAAATCCAGATCAAACCCTGCCAGTCTCTTCCCTCCCCGCTTCTAGCCCAAACGCTTCACAGTTAAACTAAAACAGATGGCCGATGTGCAGAAAGGTTTTAACTATGAAATAACCAGATGATTTTAAGAATCATTTGGCTGAAGGATAAGAGGAAGAGGGGGGAGGGAAGGATGTTTCAGGAGTGGGCCAGGAGCGGTAGCTGCGCCAATGTTCACGTCCCCACAGGGTTGCCAGGGAAGAGCAGGGCGGAGAGGCCTGGGTTAGCTTGGCTGCCTTCCTTTGGCCCCCATCACTGGCATGGGGGGCATCTAGCAAGGAAAGAGGAGCAGCCATCCGCAGTCACACACACATACACACACACCCGTCCCGTCCCCTACAGCAAACGCCTCCCCTCTGTTTTAGTTAAGGGGAAACTGTCCTCTTCGTGGCACAGAAGGCCCAGAGGTTCTCCAGGGAGGAGACTGACCCTCTGCTGGGGGGGGGGGGATTTTCCCTTCTCTGGCTGTGCCCAGGGCTCTTCCCTCCCCAGCCACGAGATCCGTAGAGAAGCTGAGGCCCCCAGCCAGGCTCCTGCTCACCAGGGGGCTCCAAATGCTGACCTCTCGGCCAGCAGAGTCAACCTAACGCTCAGCAGCAACAGCCTCCCCCTTGGGAAGCCGCCAGCCTGGAGAACAGTGATGGGATCCTGGCCCCGGTCCAGCCTTGTTTGCTAATTACCATGAGGTTAATCGGATTCCATCAGGCAGAGGAAATGGGAGGGGATGAATTCTGGTTAAAAAAAGAGACCACCCAGATGAAAGATGAAGGCCTTGCAAGATTCAGGAAATTCCCCCGGGCGTCCTGGGTTGATCCTGGAGGTGGGCCAGAAGGAGACCCCGGAGGAATTGGGGAAGCAAGTGGTGGCTGTTCTGCTTATTTAGCACCCGGCTCTCTCGCTTTTGAGAAGGGCATTCAAAGGGCGCCGCCAGTGGCAAGAGGCTCACTCACCTGCCTGGCTGCTCAGGGTACTTCTGTTTGCAGTAGGCCTCCAGTGAGGCGTAGACCTTTTCCCGCAGCGCCTCGACCTCAGCGGGGTTGGAGAGGCCCTTTGAGTCTGCAAGAGGAGGAGGGAAGGAAAGGCTCAAAGGCCGTCCAAGGCCTCTCCCAGGGCAGCCCCGGATGTCTAGCGGTGGGCACTGCAGTTGCAAGGACCGACTCTGCCTCTTGAGATCACAGCAGCCCCGGCGGGCACCCAGGACCAACTGGATGCTGCCCATGAGGGTTTTGTGAGTTGGAACCTGACCTGGAAGCCCAGCTGGGATGGCCTGAGAGAAGATGCAGAGGACCTCGGTGGAGCCTGGTTCCCTTCCCTCATAACCTGAGAAACCTGGTTCCTCTCTCAGAGGCTTTATTTGATCTCCTGCAAAGAGCTTCTTCCCAAAGGCCCCCCAGGAGGACTTTCCCCGAAAGCTTCAGGGGGCCCAAGGAGCTGCCTGCCCACCTGGGCCTTCCCCAGCTCTCCTGCCTCCATGACCTGTTTTTGGAAAGTCCCCCCCCGGCCTTAATGTGCTGCAACAGCCCCTCTTCCTCGAAGCGCCCGGAGGCTTCCTCTCCCTGGGGCTCTGGAGCCAGGAGAGGCTGCCGAGGAGAGCCCCACCCCTCGGCCCTCAGCAACGTCTTCCCTGAGCCCCTGAACAGAAGTGGCCTTCAGAAGTGCTTGGGAGCTTCATCCCGGGAGGCTTTCAGGAAGAGGCTGGACGTGGCAAGCAGCCCCAGAGTCAGGCTGCCCTACAAGGCAGAGCTGGTGGGGGAAGAAGGCACTTCCTTACCTCGCAGAGGCTGGGGGGCCAGGAGGGATCAGAGCCTGGAATGGCTTGGATTGGGTGGGTCTTGAATGACCGGCGATTCTCACTTAACCACCACAATGGGGAGTGCCGGGATTTGGTTTGGTTTGGTTTATTGGATTTATATTAACAGTAATCAATAATTTATTTTCTTTTGTTCAGGCCAGGCTGGCTTGCTGGAAAAGCCAACTTTTTAGGGCGCGTCGGAAGGACTGGAGGTTGGGGATTATATGAAGCTCCGGGGGCAGCTCATTCCAGAGGGAAGGTGCTCCCACAGAGAAGGCTCTCCCCCTGGGAGTCACTAG